TCGCGCGCCGTCATCAACCACGTCAAAGGTATATGGTCTGTCTTAATGTGGAACGTGTTCCGAAACAAATACTTTTTCCATCTCTCCAATACTCACACGATCGCCAGGCACTCCTTTTCTTAAGTCGAGTAGTTCGTTTCGGCGTCTGTGAGCAGGCCGCTAGCATATTCAATTACTCCAGAAGGTTGTGATAGCACTGCTCCGATTCCAATATCGCTAGTATCGACGGGCGCAGTAAAGGTTTCAGCAGGGTTTGGTATTTTCAGACATCTTCTCTCAGAAGTCGTAATAGTTTTTAGCTCTTGGAAGACCGTCTCCAACTCTGGTGTCTACTCAAACTTTCTGTCCTTTCTCAGCAACTGGGGCAAGGGGTAGCCTTTTCAGCAAAGTACGGTACAATTTTCGCATTGTATCCTACTAATCCCAAAAACGACCGCAATTGGCGCGTGGACTTTGGAGGAGAAAAATTTCGAATCACTTCAGCCTTTTCGGGCAACGGTTTAATTTTACCTCCGCCGACAATGTGACCCAAGCAGATGATTGTGTCCCGAGCGATTCGGCATTTATTTGCACAGAGTTTCAGCCCTACATTTTTGATTCTCTCCAGCACCGCTTCCAGGCGACGCACGTGTTCCTCTGGTGTCTTTGAGAACACTACGATATCGTCCCAGTGCACTACAACACCGTCCAAGTTTTCCAATATTTGTAGCAACAGACATCTGAACGTGGCTGGTGCATTGTACAGTCCGAACGGCATCCGAACGAATTCGTATTGTTGCCCGTTGACACAAAATGCAGTTTTCTCTCGTCGCTGGTTGCTACTGGTAGTTGCCAATACCCAGACCGCAAGTCGATTAATGACAGTACCCGTGCAGAGTGGAGTTGTTCAAATATGTGATCCGTCGGTGGCATCGGAAAGCGTCCTTTATGGTTACACGATTCAGTTCTCGAAAGTCGACACAAAACCTGTAAGTACCGTCAGATTTTCTAGTGAGCAGCACTGGTGACGAGTACTGGTACGAGCTGGTACGTTTACGGATGATGCCTTTTGACAGCATATCGCGTATCTGTTTCTCCACCTCGGCAGTATCTTGTGCGGTATCCTTCGGTACACAGGTTTATACGCGGCCCTTGGCGTTAGTTCTAGTTTGTGCTCCAACCAATCACAAAATCCATACTCGTCGTCCGGAGTAGAAAACAATTCAGAATACTTTTCAACACACTGCTTACCACATGAAATCGAACAATCCG